AAAAAAAAAAAAAAAAACTTATATATAGAATTAGTAATATTACTAGTATTATAGTTAATATATTTTAAGTAAATATATAAATTATACTAAGACTACCCCTTATAGATAATGCAATCTTAGAGGACTTGTATATTATAGTAAGAAGTATATTTAGGTATTTTAAAAAGATATTATTAAAAAAGAATATTATTAACTATCTAGGTAAGGTAATTATAATTAATTTTAAAGGTAATTATATTAGGGGAATAAAACTTAGAAATATAATTAGATATAATTAGAAAAAAAGATAAAAGGAACTTACTAAAAAAGAAAAAAGGAAAAATAAAATTATTATAACTAATAGGTCTTTAAAGATAAAGATTAAAGGAAGAGGAGAATTATATTATAATATAGCTATAATTAAATTATAAGGAAGTAGTATAATACTATAGAATAAAGATTATATGATAAAGGAGTTAGATAGGACTAAGTCTAATTAATTAGTTAAATAGAAGATTAATAGAATAGTTATACTTATAATTAACTAACTAGTTAATTAAGGGTATAACTAACTTTAAGGAGAGTTTAGAAGGGAAATATCTATATAAACTATAGTTTACTTTATATATCTAGTTTATCTTTTAAAACTCTTTAGTAATTAATTTAAGTATAATTATACCCCTATACTTGAATATATACTTCTTATTTATATCTTATAAATACTACTTAACTACCTTACTCTACTACTAATAGATAATATCTTAATCCTGTTATTAGTTATATCTACCTGATACTGTTAATAGGCTAGTATTAGGATTATAATATATAAATATTATTTTAATATTATATTTTTAATAATATAATATTATATATAAAGTAGTATTCTAATAATTAAAATTAATAGAAGAATATATTTAGAAGAGGCTAGCTTTTATAGAGAAGTATATAGGTAAAGAAATATTATAGTAGAAATAGGTTATTTTTAATAATAAGATTATAATTATATATAGTTAAAAGTAATATTAAAATTAGGTTTTCTATAAATATATTAGTTATATTCTAATTTAAAAGCTAATATTAACTAACCTAAAATAAAGAAAATAACTAGAGAAGTTAGTAGTCTAGCTAAAGAGTAAGCTAATAAGGTATTTATAAATATTCTAGGCTATATTTTTATTTAGTAAGTATATTATATTAATAAAATACTAAAAAGACTTTAATTCTCTATATAGAGGGGTTACTAGGTAAGTTATCTATAACCTCTTTAAAGAAATACTTCTAATAATATATAAGCCTAGTAGTATTTTTATTTAAGATAATACTCCTATATATATAGCCTAAATAGTTTAAGATTAATTACTTCTATAAGCTGAAGAGAATAGGGTGGAACTGATTGATTAGCTACTATATTTACCTGATCTTAACCTTATCGAAAACCTATAAAAGGTATTTAAAGAATATATTTATAAGCTTTAGCTAGACTTAGTAGATATAGGTGGTAGTATTCTAATAATTAAAATTAATAGAAGAATATATTTAGAAGAGGCTAGCTTTTATAGAGAAGTATATAGGTAAAGAAATATTATAGTAGAAATAGGTTATTTTTAATAATAAGATTATAATTATATATAGTTAAAAGTAATATTAAAATTAGGTTTTCTATAAATATATTAGTTATATTCTAATTTAAAAGCTAATATTAACTAACCTAAAATAAAGAAAATAACTAGAGAAGTTAGTAGTCTAGCTAAAGAGTAAGCTAATAAGGTATTTATAAATATTCTAGGCTATATTTTTATTTAGTAAGTATATTATATTAATAAAATACTAAAAAGACTTTAATTCTCTATATAGAGGGGTTACTAGGTAAGTTATCTATAACCTCTTTAAAGAAATACTTCTAATAATATATAAGCCTAGTAGTATTTTTATTTAAGATAATACTCCTATATATATAGCCTAAATAGTTTAAGATTAATTACTTCTATAAGCTGAAGAGAATAGGGTGGAACTGATTGATTAGCTACTATATTTACCTGATCTTAACCTTATCGAAAACCTATAAAAGGTATTTAAAGAATATATTTATAAGCTTTAGCTAGACTTAGTAGATATACTAAAGAACTATAGAAGTCTCCAAGTACTAAAAATAACTATAGTAGAGGTATAGAAAGATATTAAAGTTGAGATGTTGTAGAAGCTAGTAGGTAAGATGAAAAAATAGCTAGAAGCTATAATTGATGTAGATGGGTGGTATATGAAGTATTGATTTAGTAGATCTTTTTAAAATTATATTCTAATATTTCTTATATACTTCTATAATATTTTATAATATTTTTATATATAAAAATAGCTAAGATATAGTTATTTAAAGTTGGAGAGTGACTTTGAAGTTGTTAAGGGGAAATGTAAAGTGGGGTTGAGTGATCGAAACTTTTTTGCTTTGACTGTACATGGAGACAACAAATGCAACAGAGGGTTCTATTCTGGGATGACTTGAAAATCAAGCGAGAACATTATAGCCTGCATTACTCTACTGAGCACAGAGTATCGCCCTCTTTAACAGCCTGCCCCTCTGTTAACGTACAGTTAAGCCGCCCATCTTTATTAACTGTTATCGTCATTTCCATCTTCATGCTCTCGACTACAACGACAACCTCACCTGCCTTAACAGCATCACCTGACTTCTTCAACACCCGCAGAATCTTGCACGGCATAGGTGCGGTAACAACATCCTTTTCGGCGCTATCCTCGGCTGTCGCAAAGGTAGCCTTCAGACTTTCCACGTACGCGAGCAAAGTAAAGACTTCAAAGGAGAACCATGTGCCGAGGGCAGGTACATGCATGAAAACCTTAGTTCCTCGGGCTATGTCATTTCCCGCGCCGCGATAGTCGTTTCCGTTTGGTAACACCAAGGTTCCGGATATTCGAACGTTATCTACGTCGATTGCAATTGTAGCTGCCTCGGCGGTAGCACGTTGAAGATCCTTTTCGTTCAACCGGCTGACTGATAAGATCTTTACGTGGATGCTCGATGCCGTTCCCCTCCCTGCTTCCTTGACTAAATCGCTGAGATTGGCGTATACCGCTGTGAGTCGTCTAGCGGCGCTGCTGTCGTAGGCCAGAGAGGCTTGAGCATGGTCGAGGATAGGTGCCACGGAGAGCAGGTACATGTTCTCGTCTAGGGAGCTTCGAACCCAGTGCTGGTCCCAGACAGATAACACAGGGGAATCAATCGTAATGTCGGTGGCGATTCCTCTCTGTGTTCTAGCCACCGTGACCTGCGTATACTTGTTGGCTTTGTCCCCCCTCTGATTACGGAACCTGACCGGATTTCTCTGGAATCCCCGGTGCGGGTCGTTCCTGGCAAGCTCTGCACTCTTCATCTTGAGATATGCACCCGGAATTGCAGCCAGACTGTTCACGACGTCTTGAATACCGCTGCCATAAGGATGTTTCAAAAGCTCATCCAAATGTGATCCCACGAAATTCGTTGCGTAGCTAGGGTCATGAAAGGCAGAATGCAAGAGACAACTCTGTAGGAACAGCTGGTTCGTCGTCAGTCCAACGCACGCAGTGTTGGCGAGTACAGCGACCATTTTTCGTATCGCTGCCTCACGGCCGGACGCCGCCCAAACAACGATCTTGGCGATCAGGGGATCAAACGACATGTTAATTTCGGTTCCGGAGACCACGGCCGTCTCATAACGAACCTCGTCACTGGTGACCACCTCGTCTCCCGCTTGTTTCCACAGGTGGATTGTTCCAAGCTCGGGAAGGAACCCTCTCTGCGGGTTCTCCGCGTAAAGCCGGCATTCTATTGCATGCCCATTTTGAGACAAGTCGGAGAGAGGGAGGTCATTGAGATTGCCGTTGCTGGCAACGTAAAGCTGAAGGGCAACAATGTCGACCCCTGTAACCTCTTCGGTGATGGGGTGTTCGACCTGAATCCGGGAGTTGACCTCGAGGAAGTAAAACTTCGCGGCTTGCACGTCCACGATGAACTCAACAGTGCCGGCCCCTTCGTACGCGATCAGCCTTCCGATCTCACACGCTACATCGCACATAGAGCGTCGCATGACCGGCGTTAGCCAAGGGCAGGGTGATTCTTCGATGATTTTCTGATGGCGACGCTGGACCGAGCACTCTCGTTCGAATAATGAGATGATTTGACCATGTCTGTCTCCGATGATTTGGACTTCTACGTGCTTTCCGGCTTCGATATACTTTTCTAGGATACAGTCACTCGAACCAAACGATCGAGCTGCTTCCGATTGTGCCCGTTCGAGCTCAGCCTTGAGTGCGGCTCTTTCGCGGATAATGCGAATCCCTTTTCCACCGCCTCCGGCAGACGCCTTGAGCATGACCGGGTATCCGATTGTATCCGCCGCCCGTTCAAGTTCGGCCAAGTCCTGGCTCCTTCCTGTGAAACCCGGGATGAGGGGTACAGTATCGCTATGTTGTGATAGGTATTCCTTAGATTGTCGTTTATCACCGAGGGTCAGAATCGCCTGGGAAGTAGGCCCGATGAAAACTATGCCTGCGTCCCTTACCGCAGCCGCGAAGTCGGCATTCTCGGAAAGATAGCCATAGCCGGGATGAATCGCGTCCGCGTTGGCGGTTTTTGCGGCGTCGATCAACAGAGGAATGTTTAAGAAAGGGCTTCCATTCTCTTGGCTGGCGCTCCCTAGGCAGGTTGTTTCGTCTGCTTCGGAGACATGGCGGGAAAGCGCATCTCTAGGAAACAAGAGGTGTTAGTGTGTATCCAGGGGCATGTATACGCGTTTGAACCTGGCGGCTGATCACTCACTCGTTCGTAAATACAGCGATGGACGTAAGTCCGAGGGTACGGCAAGTCCGAATTACTCGAAGCGCAATTTCTCCGCGATTGGCGATGAAGACGCGGCGAATGGGATTGCTCCCTTTAGGGAGGTCAGGTACAAAGAGTTGTTTTCCCATGGCGGTAGGGGTAGTACGCTTATTCAGTCTCGGATTTTCTACAAATTGGAAAATAGCTGCTCCTTCTCTCTCCCCCTTATGACTGCTGTGCAGCGGCTACAAGTAGACTCGTTAGGCAGTTCCGAATAGTGGGGAGTTTTGCACCTCGGAAAATCCGTTTCGAGAGGGTGCCCTTAATGGAAACCCGAGCCCGTGTTCCGGGGAAGCTGGCAAGAGAATAATCGTTGTACCCGAGGTGTCTACCCTTAAGGGTTAGCGATCGGACTCTCCTAACCCAACCACCATCCCTGCAAGAGCATAGCTTGTGAAATACGTGCTACATACGTAAGAAAGCCAAGAAGGCGATGCAGGCGGCTTCCTACTGGAGGCAGGGGTTTGTATTCAAAACCAAGGCCTGCAGTGCTGTGTTTTTGTTTCCGATGCAGAAATTAGCTACGTTTGGTGCACCAATTCCCTTTTCCAACCCCTGTACTTCGTACTACAACCCGTCTCATCGGCGCCGAAGGGCTGAGGCGAGAGAGTATGTCGACACGCATAATTTTGCCGTTCTGTGAGGAGTGCTCGACTTGAGAATCATCTACTCTCTTTTTGATATCCCGGACAACAAGGAAGGAGTGCAAGGCTTCCTTGAGAAGAGGAAGGTGAACTTGAAGGGCATGGTCATGAATGATATTCATCAGGCATATCCTTGGTGGGAGCCAATTGAGTGAAACAGTCAGGAAGCCAAAGCTGTGAGAATAGTGCGTCTTACTTACGTTTACTTATCATTTCCGAGGGTAGTGGAGAGCACTAGAGGTGGTATTGTTAAGGAATGGATATATTATACCTGGCATTCTAAGAATCCCCATGTCAAAGAGTACTATGTATATGTATCCGCACCTATGTGATATATGGCAATGGCTTTCTGGGAGAAGTCCTGAGACATATTTCCGTGCTGAATGTGCCGCGGGATGTTGAATCGTCGAAAGTTCACACTCCTCCGCCATCTCAGACGATGATTTTGATAGGAACAATTCTACGTCGAAGAAATTCAAAGACTGAACGGTCTCTCCTTTTGCGATATACGTTATTCTATATACGCAAACGGTACAGCAAGTCTGAATACATCGAACGGATCGTGCTTCTTCTTGAGATCCATCAAAAAGTCATAATTCGACCCGTATATCAGCTTCAGTGTGTTGCGGCCCGGTGGCGTTAATGAGATGTACGTCGAGGGCAGAATATTGCGTGGGTCTGTGGCCTGGATCTCGGCTAGGAAATCCTTCGCCCACTCCCTGGAGATCTCAGCCGACTCCACTGACATCGCGCCATAGAGGAATTCCAACATGTAATGGGGTTCATTCGCTGCGAATACAGAGGATTTACGGCTCTCATTAGACGAAGCTGGAGCCACATGCGCCGCGAATCCGGTTCCGAAATGGGGTGGCATGGTTTCGATCCTTTTGCTGATGATGCCGATTACTTCGTCGGTGAGAGCACGGATACTAATAGTATCGACCGAGCCATAAGCACCGTCGACAGCGAAGTCTGTGGCGAATTCTTCTGTGGCGCCAGCATGAGTTGTCTTCCGCACTCCATTGCGCAGCACTTCTCCAAATCTTGAAATTTTGTCCACCCATTGGGCGCCGGTCCCTTCGTCTTCATCGCCCCACATTACATGGAAAAAGGCCTCCAAGCCATAAGGAGTGTATATGAAGAGGGGTGCGATGGATAGTGGACTCGGGTTAACCTTGGATCTGGATCTTTTCAAGTTCGTATAAGTTGGACCCCCTACTTTCGGCCACCCCCCCCTTTCGGCCACCCTTTTCCCATACAAAATAGCGATTTGCAGGGGTCTATATCTCCACCAATCCTATATATATAATAATAAAATTTTATATATAGCTTCTTTTCATAGTTACTAGCTAGGAAAAAAATATAAACTTGAAATTTAGCAAAAGGGTAGTGTATAGTAGATAGTTAAAGTATACCTATATAAATTATATATAAATTAAAACTAATATAATTATAGTAATAAGAGATATTATATAATCAAAAAATATATAACTAATTCTATAAAAA